GTGTTATACCAATTAGAGCACTCACATGTTACAGCTATATGCAATTTATAAATAATTAGTTTGTAAAGTGCTTTGAAAATAGAAAGTGCTGCACAAGTACTCAAATTATTATATATTACAAGCCTTTGGTATGTAATCATTTTATTTAATGATTGGCTCTTTAAAAGGTCTAGTACTTTATAGCTGAACAAGATGTCTAATTTTAAATAATTAATATTTGTTTATTTAGAGTGAAAAGCTATTAGAGAGCAAATCAGAGGTACTGATCAAGTTACTTCTTCACAGTTTATATAAATGCATTTGACTCCTATTTATCTCCCTCATCCTTTTACAGACCAGTTCAAACTTCAGGTTCCACAGACTTCATGTACGGTTTCCTCCCACTTATACATGACTCTTGGTTATCCTGACTGTCCTGCTCGGTTTTTTCCTTCTCATCTGCCTTCTGAAGGTGTTTTGTATGAACCTGTGAGTTTATAGCCACCCTAAGAGATTCAAGGCAGCAAGTCAATTACCAGTGATGATAAATTCTCTTAAGAGCAATGAAGCAATGAGCTGTGGTGGTGGTCACCAATGGGTGCATTTCCCACATATACTGCTATTATTAATTACTTCGGTTTACTATCATTATCCTACGCCTCTATGTCCACTAATTAAGCTTCTCTTTCATCTCCTGAAGGTCTTGGTTCAGAGGTATTCAACCTCATTTAAATAATCCTGTTTACCCTCCCCACAGGAATACTCAGAGGCAAAATTATAGATGAGGCAAAGCCATTTTTGATCCTTTCCCACCTATCCCTTTAGGCTTTCCTTCTATCTTCAAGTGCTAATTTCCTTGCAATGACACTGGCTTTCCAGCTTTCCAGAATCTCTTTAAAATCATTCTAGAACACTTCCTAGTACTAGTCCTAGTACTAGGACTTTGACCTCCCTCATCCCTGCTCCCACTGACATTTAGCCCTCCAGTGCTGGACAATGTATTTTTTTGATTAGAAAACCCAAACTAAGCCCTTTTTCTATACAATGAGTGCTGATGTTTAGCCTTCTTGGGCACTAAACTAACATGCCCGGAGCTCGACAACCTCCTTGTTAATGCCAATCAATACTTTTCTGTCCTCGTGTGTCTCTTTCAACATTTTTCCCTCTCTGAAAGCACTGGCTTCCAAAACACCACTTTCTACACCTCAGGGGTTGCTACTTTTGTACCCAATCTTTAATGCCGAGCTTCTTCAGGGCTTGGTTTTGGGCCTACTTCTTTGACTATACTCGTTTTAATGGATTTACATCATCTTTATGACAAGAACTCACAAAGTTTCTCTCCAGCTTAGATGTTTTTCATGGCCTCCAACTCACATATTCACCATCTACCACAGTCAAAATGGAACTTTTGATTCGTTACCTTTTCCACTTTCCAACCTATTTTTTCCCGTGAGCCTCCCATTTGGCCCCAAACCGAAGTTGAAGTCCTGTTTTCTCACCTTCCACCACCAGTACCTGAGGACTACCAATTCTGTACCAATTCAGTTTTTTTTTTTTTAAAGATTGTATTTATTTATTCATGGGAATACACAGAGAGGAGAGAGAGAGGCAGAGACACAGGCAGAGGGAGAAGCAGGCTCCATGCAGAGAGCCCGACGTGGGACTCGATCCTGGGTCTCCAGGAAGACACCCTGGGCTGAAGGCGGCACTAAACCGCTGAGCCACCCGGGTTGCCCCTGTACCAATTCAGTTCTAAAATATATTTCAAATCAACCCTTTTGTCCATCAGTAGCTTGCTGCCCTTCTAGGCCAATGACACAGTTCCTCTCGATAATTCATCCCTCCACACTGTCATCAGAGTATTCAGATGTCATTCCCATTGTACTTAAAATCCAAACCCTTACCACCCCAACTCTTCTTCCCACCATATCCATAGCCTAGGCCCTTCTCTTCCTTGCTTACCATGCTGCATATAAGCAATTTTTCAATATCTTTAATTTCTCAGACCACAGGTTTTCAGCTTCAAGACTTTACAAAGCTATCCTGCCAGAATACTTCCTCTCCTTTGGGCAGTTAGCTCCTTCTCTTCCTGTAATCTCTGGATGAACCTCCCTGATTTTCATACCAAAAGCAATTCCCCTCTCATGTTTTCTTTCTTGATCCTTCCTATGTTTTCAAAGAATTACAACTTTAAAAAAATAACTTCAATCCTATTATAATGTATGTTCTATGAGAACAAGACCCATGTCTCATCCAATAGCGTTCTATCCAGGGCCTGGTATGTGCCAGGTGCTCCATAAATACAGAAATATATTTATCCAAACACGTTGACTGAGTATAGGAAATGTAGGTTCTATGGCAGAGTAGTAGAAAGAGGTCTGATTGGAGTGAATAAAAGGCTACGTGCCATAACTACCAACATGGATTTAGCCAGTATTTTCTAATTGCCTACTACCCATCAGGCATCGGGCTGCAAGTCAGTATAGTGGGTAGACAACATAAGCACTAACAACAGCATAGTAAATCCAAGACCATGAAACACAGGAGTAAAATGAAAGTACATGCAAGTCCCCAAACCAGGGTGGGAGTCTTGACCTCTAAGTTCTCACCTACCCTAGAGTGTAGAAGAGTAAGGGTGTTCCAAGAATATGGAACAGCAAAAACAAAGACCCCAAAGCACAGAGTGCTGGGAGTGAGGTGCTCAGGTCAAAGGTTAACAAGATTTAGGGTGAATTAAGAGACAAGTTGGTGTAGGACAGCTAGCAGACAAGGCTGATGAGATTAACAGGACACCTTGAAGAGGTTCACTAGTATTTTAAGGTCAAAAAAAAAAAAATCACTTTCCCAACTTGGAAATTTTTCTCTTGATCCTTATTGTAACCCTGGGCTATATACTTAGATACGCACCTAAGGACTGAAGATGTTCCCTGATCATCCCAGTTTTCTTCTTTTACAGTATAAACTCTCGACCTACTCAGGTCATTTCTGACAAAATATTTTATTAGTGTCCTGAAATTAAAGCAGTAAACTGGCATCCATCCTATATATGCAACCACAAAGGTAGAACTAGATCCTAACTCTCCTGTGAATCCAAAATTCTCACAATTCTTTCAAATTATTCCCCACGCTTGAACCCAGCAGTCATAGTAAAAGATGCAAATTCTCTCATGAATTACTAAAAAATATCTAGCAAGAAGCTAAATCCTCCTCCCACTTCCACCTTTCTTTTTTAAACCCACCACAGTCTGTGCTTACGCTCTATTGCATCTCTCCCTCTTCCCCAATCATAGCCACAAGTGCACATTCTTTTGAATTCTCTTGATCAAAGTCTTTGTCTAGGTCTCTAATATTCTCCTAGCTTTCTTACGTTCACTGTTGGCTCAATTAAAAGAAAAAAAAAAAAAACAAAAACAAACCAAAAAACCCCCTAAAACAGTCAATCTACCAGATGAAGCAACAGAAACCACTCAAATTAGTTTAAATAAAAGAGGGAATTTATTAGATGAGTACAAAGGTTCTTGCAGGGATTCCAGCAGCTGTAATGGGTAATAGCTAGAAGCACGCCTTTGTGAAGGGCAGATGGAGTTGTAATCACAAACTTCTACTTCTGGTTTTGCAAGATCACGAAGAGAATATCCTAGAGGATAGTCCTCCCCGTATAGTGCATAAGGGACTAGAATGTGGATTCATTTCTGCTTGCTTTTTGATCCTTATATTCCTTTATGCTGGCCTCAAACTTGTCAAGCACATGTTGGCAGACATTCATGAGCTCATTCAAGCCTCTCTGAAATGGCTCAACAGCTGGAAGAGCACCTCGAGTCTGAATGCGTAAATTAATTTTGCTCTCTGAAGGATGGGTTGTAGTGTAACCACAAAATTCCACTTCCGGGTTCTTCATGATCATGTAACGAAGAGAATTTCCTAGGGTATGGTCCTCTTCGTGCAATACAAATGTCACACAGTGTCTATCTGTTCCAGCTGCCTGGACCATTTCCAGGGCTGTCTTCCTCTCGCCTTCAGCCATTGAGGTCTTCAATCCAGATATTTTTCTACACACATATTTTTTATAAAAATGAGATCATACTGAATATGGTTTTGTAACTAGCTTTTTTTTCATTTACTATATCACAATCGCAACACATTACTGCACTCCAATTACACTCAACTATTTTGTATTAACCCCTCATTTTCCTGCCTCCACATATTCTATCAATAAACACTTAATTATTGCCTCCAGTTTCTCCCTACCCCATTTGACACCGTCCACATGGCCACGAGGGCACAAACGTAAATGTTAAATATTTAAAGCTAAAATTTTCTCTTGGTAGAATCACAAGAAAGGAACAGGATTAGAGTAGGGTGGGCTCTGCTGGAGAATGAAAGGGTATTTAAAGGCACACAAAAACACATCTTCCCAAAAATAGAGACTGCAGATTATCATCGTGCAGGCCCCACTATGGTTTCCATTTGCAGGAGATAAACTAGAGAGAGGAAATTCTGAGAAGTGTCAATCAAGCAGGAGGGAGACCGAGGACTGAGCGCACCAAGGGGCGGCTTCCTTAGCTGTCTACACAGAGCTCTGAGTCGGGCCGCAGTCACAGGTGCTTAGGCCTGGCTGGACGCACCAACACGAGCACTCGGCGAACAGCGGCCCGGGCGCGGCCTTCCGTTAGTTTTATTTAGTCCTGCTCTTCTCCCTGCGATGGGCGGTGTGGGGACTTAACTCCGGCCTCGTAACTTGCGCTCCCTCCGGGCCGTCTAATTGTACGGGGCGCCTCTATCAGACACGTCCGTGTGTCCTCCCCTCCCCTCCCTCCCCAGCAGGGCCCTCTCCCCGCTCAGGCGCCCACCTGCCTCTCCACCTCCCTCTCCTCCCGCGTCCTCCCGGCCCGGCCCCCGCTGCCCCCGCTGCCCCCGCTGCCCCCGCTGCCGGCCCGGGCCCCGCAGGCGGACGCCCCTCGGCTCCCCGCTCCCGGCGCGGGGCGCGGCCCGCTCCGCCCACCCGCCTCCTCGGCCGTTACCTCTCCAGCTCCTGGTCCTCTTCCATCGCGGGGACGGCTTCCGGGATCCTCAGGTGGTGCGGGCTGAGCGGAGGCGCTAAGCCATAGCGCGAGGCACGCGGGCGGAGCAGGAAGGAAGGAACGACGGACGGAAGGAGCCGGGGACGGAAGGAGGGAGGAGGAGCCGCAGCGGCGCGGCGCGGCGCGGCGAGGCCCAGCCGCTGGGCGGGGCGTGTACGTTCCGCCCGCAGGCCCCGCCCACAGGCCCAGCTCCCCGCGCGGGGAGGGCGGCTGCGAGGCCGGGCGCGCTCACCTGGAGCTCCAGGGGCCAGTCCGCCCGCTGCCCTAGCGGGGACAGGGGGGCCGCTCTCCCGTCCCACCTCGAGGGCGAGACCCGCCTGTGGGCGCTCCGGTGCAGCCCTCGGCACCTTCGGCCAGGTGTTGGCGAAGGGGGCGGGGCCTTACCTGCCGCCCCAAGCCGCCGTCCTTCTCAGGGCGGAATGGGGCCTCTTTCAGACTTGCTGCCTGACCCTTGGGGCAGGGTGTCACTCCCTGGCGGGACCCCAAGCCTGACGGGGGAGGGGGGGGGTGTTCGGGGGGATGACAGGTGCAAAGTGCAGGTGATCAGTACACCTTGATGAATTTCACGACAGACGGGGATGAGTTTAAGGTTGTGTGTGTGTCATCCGGGATCTTGCAGCCGCACACCTCAAACGGGTCAAAAAAAGCCTTCGTTTCTGTCCTTAGGGGGAGGAGCGAGAGTTTGGAAGGAAACTGCTCTTCTCCCCCTTGCTCCCCCCGTCCTTTCCCTCAGGATCTTTTCTGCACCTGGAATACGTACTCCGTCTCTTGCTCCGGATCTCCTTTTCCTCTTCCCCTTTTGGTTCAAACCTCACCTGCGGAACCTCCCTGTCACCTTTGTTCCCAGGTGCCCCTGCCCCCGCCTCGGCAACCTTTCGCCACCGGCACCCGCTCCCCGCCCTTTTCCCTCCGTACCCCTCCTCTCTTCGTCCCCCCTCCTCCCTTCCTCCACCGCCTACCCCCGTCGCCCTTCTCGGCCCGGTCAGTCCCGGTCCCTCGCACCTTGCCCCAGAGTCCTCTCACCCCAGCACACCTATATTCCTGCTTTCCTGCGCCACCTGTGCTCGTACCCACACCCCGGTTCCCCCAGAGGGTCACTGCCTCCCCAGCTGTTCCCCTCTGCTCGCGGCGGTCGGCGGTGAGCGCAGATCCACTTTCCCAGCGGGTCTCCAGCGGGGGGATCAGGCGGGCGGGGGCAGCCGAGACCGAGTGGGGGAGGGCAGGCGGCCAGGGGCGGAGTGGGCTCACTCTAACCCGGGAGTGACGGCCCCGGCCTGGCCCGCCCCCCGCGCGCTTCGATAGGCGGAGCCGCGCTCTGGCCCGCCCCCTGCCCGCCCTGCGCCGCAGCCGGTTGGCCCAGCTGCTTGTCGGGTTGGGCTGCAGGGGCCTGGCGCTCGCCCCCGGGAAGGCAGCAGGGGCGGTTGAGAAGTGAAGTCTTGGCCAGAGTTTGCTTCTTGCCAGGAAATCCGCGGCGGCGGCGGCGGCGGCGGCGGCGGCGGCGGCGGCGGCGGCGGCGGCGGCGGCGGCTCCCGGCGGCTCCCGGCGGAGCGGAGGCCGGCGGGCTCCCGGCTCTCTCAGCGGGCCGCGGAGAGCGGAGCTGGCGCTTGGCTGCGGCGCCGGGAGCCGGTGCGCGCCCCGGGCGGCCGCGCTTTCCCAGTGAGTAACTTTGCCCCGGCCGCCCGGCCCCGCGCCCTGCCCGGGTGCCGGGCAGCCGCCTCAGGTGCGGGCGTCGGCGGGCTGTGGGGGCAGAGCCGCGCCCGGGGAGGCGGCGACCCGCGGCTCTGCGCCCCGCTCGCCGCGGCTGTGGGGGACGTGGACCCGCGCCCGCGGTGGGGCTGGGCGCGCCGGTCGGGGGAGCGAGGGAGGGACGCGCCGTCCTGCGCCGGGTGCCCGCCGCCCGCCCGGCGCCCGGCGCCCGGGGAGGCGCGAGGCCCCCACCCCCGGCTGTTGCCATTTGGTGGTTCCGGCCACGGGGCTGCCGCTCTGCGCGTGGTTTGCTTCTTCCAGGAGGGGAGAGGTGGGGGTGAGCTAATTTGCTGTGTGTGTGTGTGTGTGTGTGTGTGTGTGTGTGTGTGTTGTAAACGAGAGGGGCACTAGCTGCCTCACGTCGGGTCTTGTGCTCCAGGGAAGGAATAGGGAGAGACCCACGGTCCCAGCCTGTCGCCCACGAAGTCTCACCTTTCCCTCGAGGCTGGAGGGGTGGGAGGTCTCACCTCTGTCTGCAAGGGGGTAGTCTCAAAGTACGGATCTCCAGGTGGAAGCAGTTGCACACAAAGCACCGTTCGGGAAGGACGTCCCTCGCTGTCAAAGCTCTATGCCGGATGTTTCAGACGAAGGACTTTTGGCACAGGTGGGGGTTTCTCCTGAAATTTCAGTCTGCAGTGAAGGTCAGGAATCAAGACGTTCTTATCTGCCAGGAGCTACAGCACGCTCAGGCATGAGCTTGACTGTGTAGATGTTTCTGTTTAAATCGCAGAAACCAGAAACGAAGTTGAGTGTACAGCCGCGGCAGGAGGAACCAGTTGTGAGCTCAGGTTTATAGGAACTGCCTTCACTTTCAGAGTTTCGCGTTCTTGCAGCAGCAGCAGTAGTATTTATTTGTCAATTGGCCTTCCTCCCAGGACAGATTTTTTTTTTCTTGCATGTAGTGTGACGCATTGCTGATGAAGTGCGATCTCTTAGATAAATTTTATTTTCGTTGATAGATTTGATTCCCATCTCCACAACCTTCTAGCAAATGGACTTTGTTTAATCTAGTATCCTTTTCGGCCTGTCGAAGCCTTGTCGAGCCGTGAAAAACAAAGTTTTGCCTTTTTAGCTTGTCCAAGGCCCACATGGGAGTTTTCCCAGAGGTGTAAAATGTAGGCCAAATCAGAACCAAAGTACAAGAACACTACTTTTAATTTGGCCCACTTGTGTGCTAACGTTCCTAATCCTGCATCTTGTTTCTCTCTTCTCATCAAGTTAGAAAATTTTCATTATTTATTTACTCAGCATGCAATAGAGTGCCTACTCCCTGCTGCATGCCAGACATTGATGGCAAGGGTTAGTTCTTTCCCCAAAGGTGATGATCATAGTCTTATTTAGAAGCTGATCCATACCTGTTCCCTTAGCTACCTGAAAGTTAATTTGAGCAAAGTGCTGTGGGGACTTAAAAGGGAGCATTTCTGCCGGGGTTTGCTAAGGAAGACCTAATCTCCAAACTGCTATGGAATTTTGCCCTGTACATTCTAGGCAAAGGGACTAACATTGACATGTAAGGTGTTGCATTATGAGATCTACATGGAATTACTCCTGCTGAGGGGCACAGTTGTTTGGGGTTGGAGTAGTAGTCAGGGGTTGGTGTATTATGTATTTCAGAGTACTTAGCACTTTGCTTTGGTTACATTAGGCACTCAAATACTTGTTGAACTGACGTGAACAGAAAAATGAAGGATTTTGTGTGCCAAATTAAGAAAATTGGACTTTATCTACTTAGTGATACAAAGCTGTTAATTCTATTTTTATATTTTTAGAAGATTTTATTTATTTATTTTAGAGAGAGTGAGTGGGGGGCAGGAGAGGGAGAGAGAATCCCAAGCCGACTCGGAACAGAGCAGGGAGGCCTGCACCAGGTTAGAAACCACGACTGGGGGATCCCTGGGTGGCGCAGCGGTTTGGCGCCTGCCTTTGGCCCAGGGCGCGATCCTGGAGACCCGGGATCGAATCCCACGTCGGGCTCCCGGTGCATGGAGCCTGCTTCTCCCTCTGCCTATGTCTCTGCCTCTCTCTCTCTCTCTGTGTGTGTGTGACTATTATAAATAAATAAAAATTAAAAAAAAAAAAAAAAGAAACCACGACTGGACCCCCCCTCCCCCATCATGACTTGAGCCAAAATCAAGAGCTGGATGCTCAACTGACTTAGCCACTCAGGTGCCCTCAACTACTAGTTTTAAATAGAATGTCATGGGGCACTTGAGTGGCTCAGTCGGTTAAGAGTTCGATTTTTGGTTTCAGCTCAGGTTATTGATCTCAAGGTTGTGGGATCCTGTCCTGTACCCCGCCTGCTAAGTCTGCTTAAGATTTTTTTCTCTCCCTCTGCCCTTCCCCTCTGTGCGAGCTTGCGTTGTTTCAAATAAATCTTTTTTTTTTTAATTTAAGTTAAATAAGAGAACATCATGATAACATTTGCTTTCCAGAAAGATAATCTGCAGTGGAGAATGGTGGGGGTCCAGATGAGAGACAGAGTGAAAGCTGTTATATTGTAGAGGTTAAGTGCTTAGGGATTCTCAATTAACATTGTCTGGGTTTGAATCTGGTTCTTTCACTCAGCTATGTAATCTTTTTCTTTCTTGTGTTTTTCATTTTATAGGGTTTGGGGGATAAAAGTAAAAAAAAAATATGTGTATTAAGCCCCTAAATCTGCTAATTTTAAATGGAATGTCATGGGGCGCCTGGCTGGCTAAGTTGGTTAAGCACCGGACTCTCGGTTTCCACTCAGGTCCTAATTCTGTAGCCCTGGGATGGAGCCCTGAGTCAGGTTCTGTGCTCAGTGGGGAGTCTGCTTGAGGATTCTCTTCTTCTGCGCCTCTCCCAGCTAGCTCGTCTACTCTTTCTTTCTCAAATATATAAATCTTAAAAGAAATAAAAATAAAACAATAGTGTGTGGCATATAGTGAGGACTTGATAGGTGCTAGTTGTTCTTCTGAGTGAAGGCAGTGGAGGTAGAGTTGTTGTGGCATTGAGGAGGTATATTTGGTTGGACTAGGTAAGTGACTAGATATGATTAATGAGAGTAGGATGATTCCTAGGTTTTTTTGACGTGAAGCATTGGACAGTACTGATTAAATTGGCTGTAGAGTTAGCACAAAAGTTGAGGTCCATTGCTTATCGGTAGAATTACCATCCTGAGCTTTGGTTTCCTAATATTTGGGAATGATCATAGTACGTGTCTAGTAGGATTTGAAGATCAAATGAAATTACGTATAAAATGCCCTTTGGTAGAGTACCTAGCATGTTACAAGTGCTCAGTAAATATTAGTTGTTCCCTTAGTAATGCTGATATTAATGAGCTAGTAGAATATTGGAAGATACGAAAAGGAGCCATTAAAAGCAACTAAAGTTAGAAGAGGAAGAGAAGATAATTAGTTTTGTTTTTGTTTTTAAAGATTTTACTTATTTATTCATGAGAGACACAGAGAGAGAGAGAGAGAGAGGCAGAGACACAGGCAGTGGGAGAAGCAGGCTCCATGCAGGGAGCCCGATGTGGGACTCGATCCCGGGTCTCCAGGATCAGGCCCTGGACTGAAGGTGGTGCTAAACCACTGAGCCACCTGGACTGCCCAGGTAATTAGTTTTGGACCAATCTGATGAACTGCCAATGAATGGTTAAGATGTCTTTGATGAAGACATGGATAGATGGGCAGGAGCTAGGAGTTCACATAACGCCTTTGTGAGTGTGGTTAGCTTTTTGGAAGATTTGAGAAATGGGGAGGAAGAAGAGAGATTTATATTATAGCAGTGCCAGGAATGTTGATGTTGAATATGAAGCACCTCTATCCCTAAAATGCATTTCGGCCACCATGACAGGGGAACTCTAGGCTCATATAATCTGATTGGCTCTGTGCCCATCTCCCCCTCTTTCTTTCCTCTCCGACTGCTCCCAAAATTATTTTTTAATATCCAGTGTCGTTTAACTTTTCCAAGCTTAAAGTTCACTCCAGACCCACCTTCCTATATCAGAATCTAACAAGGTCTTTAGAAGACCTTTAGAAGGTAGAATAGTCAAAGGTCTTGTTTCAAAGGTTCCACCAAGGAAGCAATGTTGGTTGAATCAAAGATGTATGTATGTGTGAGATTTATGTATATGTACATACACATATATTTTGACATGCAGGGTTTATGTACATATATACATGTCTATATACACATCTTGCATATTGAATTATGGTGGCAGAAGGCTTGGCCAGGCCTCCCTTGACCCTGTTATGGGGCCTGGGAGATTTTCAGTTTTCCTCTCCTATGTCTCTTCCTCAGTGAGTACAAAACAGTAGAAAAATCTGTGATTATGTAAATTTTTTGGTTGGTTAGAGTTAAAAGAAATGGCTATTTTGTATGTTAGTCTAATGAAAATTTGAGGGAAATCTTTTAAAGCAAGTGCTCATACACATCTTAATAATAAATTGTCATCTGATTAGTATGCTTTTAAAGAGGCAGGTGTCATAGGATCTGTTCTTTAGAATGTATACTTCAGATGAGCGGGGGGGGGGGGTTCATATCAGTTTTGCTCACTGGATAGTTCCCGAGTGCTTAGAATCATAAATAGTAATGTATGCAGGAATGAATGAAAGGGGTCCGTTGGTTTGGATCTCTTGGCTCACAGATTTCTCTAACTCTTTGAAACAATTGTTGGTCAGGGAAAACAAAAGAGAGAATTGAGCCAGCAAGGAAGCTTCAAGCGCTTTTTGAACCCACAGGAAAATAGAGCAACTATAATAGAACTTAATGGTTCTTCCAATTCAGTCATCGTAGTACCTACTGCTGTAATTATTTACATGATTCCCTCCTTTTTCACATTTTCCGCTGACAGTTGTGAGGGGTGGTAGGAACAGACTTAAGTAGGGTTATTGCTTTGTTCAGAGTTGAACAGACAATAGCTATGTCATAACTTTGTCTTTTCTTGATTATTAGCAAAATTTTGGAAGTCTTGCTTGATTAGGAAAGCTGAAAAGATAAAAAAGTCTTGTGGGCAGAGAGAGTTTAAGCATAGCTTACACCTTTATCTTTCCAGCCTTGAGCGATTAGGACTATTACTTCTAACAATCAGAATCCCTCAGTGGAATCCCAGAATTATTTGGGGGAAAATTATTTTTTTCCCAAAATTGGACTGGGTAAGAGAAATGAGAAATAGAAAAATTGCAGGAAATAGGCAATAAGGAGGTAAAACTATATACAATATACACACAAGTATATATGTGTTTTTTTATATAAAATATACTGTAAATCATGTATCTACTTAAAGAGTATACCATTTCTATAAGTAAAACAAATGAGGTTTTAATTTTTTCTCTTTACTGTAATCTTAGAGTTCTTTTAAATAACAAATTGCCCTAAATTTTTATAAAAAATGTTTATGGCCAAGTTATGAGGACTTGTTTCTCACACAAAAATAAGATGTACCTGGCTATAAAAAAGCTAAAGACTCTGTTGGCTATTCCTTTGTTTTATAAATAAAAGTAAAGTAAGTCTGGGAAATATTTATACCCTTTCCTCTACCCTCCCATCCCTCTCCCCCAAAGTGAGAATTCAGCTACCAATCTGAAAAATTAATGCATCATTCAGAATTCTTAATACTCTTCAATCAAACTACATAAACATTGAACAAATAAATGGGAGTCCTTCCCTTATCTCTTACTTCATTATTGTGACCATTGCCACTTTTCTCCCACATGATTTTAATTTTTGAACTTTTACTTTCAGTTGTATTCATGTAGACATACTTGATGTGATCAACACTGGGCTGTATGGACCATGAAAGATTGTCCCTGCCTTTGTACAGCTTAAAATCTTAAAAGACGTTCAGTCAAGGAGTAGGAGGGTGACTGATGCCTTCCACTGCTAGTATCTTTGCTCACCTCCAGTGATCATCACTTCTATTGTATTTTAATGTTCCTCCAAATTTTCCACATCAGAAATCCTAAATTTATATATCCAGTTCTCTGACCACGCTTCCTATCCTGTCCTTCCAGCTCGCTCACACCGACACTTTATATTACCCTGCCCTTCCTCTTGATAGAGACAGCTTGCCAATCTCTTTATTGTGCCCCCCCTCCTGTTCCCTGTTACATTAATATCTGTTGGCCTGGAGGTCTTCTTCCCCATCCAGTTTGGAAGCCATTGTTAGGCACCTGGAATATGCTTTCACTGGCACCTCTGCCTCTTGAACTTATTTTTGTGTCTGCCAGATAATGTCCCTGTTCTGATTAACTCTACTGTCTCTCCCAGAGGTGCTTTGGTAACACCAGTGAAAGACCAGGCCCTCGGTGCAGGTAATTATGTCTCAGACAACCCCTCCTTACCATCCCCTCCAGTCAGTTATGTTTATTTAGCACCTACGGAGTGCTCTGACACTGAGCTAAGAATACTGGGGTATCCTCATAGAGCTTATATATTTCAGGAGAGATAGACATTCATCAAGGAATAGTGCACACTGTAGTGACAAAGTGCTTTGGAGAAATAGAATAGGGCCATGTTGTCCAATACTGGAGTCACACATGTGGCTATTGAAATGAGGCTAGTCTTTTGTTTTTTGGGTTTTTTAAAAATATTTTATTGATTTATTTTTTAAAGATTTTATTTATTTATGTGAGAGGATAAGAGAGCACAATGGTGGGGAAGGGCAGAGGGAGAGAGAGAAGCAGACTCCCTGCTGAGTGGGGAGCTCATTATGGGACTCCATCTCAGGATGCTAAGAACATGATCTGAGCCACCCAGGTGCCCCTGATTTATTTATTTTATTTTTTTAAATTAGTTTATTTATTTATTTATTTTAAAGATTTTATTTATTTATTCATGAGAGACACAGAGAGAGAGGCAGAGACACAGGCAGAGGGAGAAGCAGGCTCCATGTGGGGAGCCCGATGTGGGTCTTGATCCTGGGACTCCAGGATCACGCCCTGGGCCAAAGGCAGGCGGTAAACCACTTAGCCACCCAGGGATCCCGATTTATTTATTTTAGAGAGAGAATGTGTGCACTCCAAGTGGAGGGAGGGACAGAAGCAGAGGGAGAGGGAAAGCATCTCAAGCAGCCACCTTGAGAGCCCTGCTCGGGGCTGGACAGGGCCTTAACTTGGGGCTCAATCCCAGACCCTGAGACCATGACCTGAGTAGAAATCAGGAGTCAGATGCTTAACTGACTGAGCCACGTAGGCACTCTGAAATGAGGCTAGTCTGAATTGAGATGCGCTTTAAGTGTGAAGTACACACCAGATTCTAAAGATTTAGTATGAGCATAAGGTGAAATATCTCAATAATTTTTCTATTTGTTTACATGTTGAAATAAGATGATAAATTCTGGGTATATTGGGTTAAATAGAATATTAAAAATATTCATTTGTTTCTTCTTTCTCTCTTTTTTTAAAATTGTGCCTACAAGAACATTTAAAATGACCTGTGTGGGGTAGGGGGATGCCTGAGTGGTTTAGTCATGAGCGTCTGCCTTTGGCTCAGGTCCTGGGATCAAATCCTGCATCATGCTCCCCAGAGGGAGCCTGCTTCTCTCTCTGTCTGTGTCTCTGCCTCTCTCCATGTATCTCTCATGAATAAATAAGATCTTAAACAAAAAATGACCTGTGTGGCTCATACCATATTTCTATTGGGTAGCATTGGTATAGGATATTGTCTGGAGGTAAAATGAGGGGAACTAGTCTTTGGGGAGCTCGGTGTCCCTGAAACCTTCCCTGAGGAGGTTGTCTTTGAACAGGTACCCGGCTGAGTAGGTGTTACACAGATAAACTCCCCTCAGAAGAAGCAGTCAGGTGGATGGCCATTTGAAGGAGGGTGAGACAGATGAGAGAGCTGCGTGAGAGAGAGGTCTGAGATGAGGCCTGGGAGGAAGGCAGGGCCAGATCACATACGCCTTGTTGGCCCTACGTAAGGACTTTGTTCTTCATCTCTTTTGGGTTATTCCAGACCCTTAGCATTGATAAACCCTTTTGTCCAAGCCCCACTTCTACAGTCTGCAAGTAATCGGCCACTTGGTGATCTGATTTGATTTCTCAGATTTCTGTCCCTGCCTTTCCCTGCTTATGTATGTAAGTTTCAGATCCTTGGAAGGCTAGCTTTTCCACACAGTGCTCTAGATCCCATCCTTCAAAGTCTCTCTCAGGAGAGAGAGTTAACTCCCATCTGTGTTTAATCTTTCTCCCTGCTGGCTTATCTGTACCAGCCTAAATATGCACCAGTCTTAAATCTTTAAAACAAAGCTTCACTAACCCTACATTCCCCTGTAGTTATTCTTAAATAATAAAACAATAGTTTTTTGGTTTGATATTAAATTTTATTTAACATGTTAAAAGTGTATTAAAAGTAAGACATTTGCCTTTTTTCTTATTAAGTGTTTGAAATCTGGTTATATTTTTACATTATATTTTACATATATCTCATTGCAGACCCTAAATTTTCAATGGATAAAGTAAAAGGAATCTTATCAAAATAATAATAATTTTTTTAAATAATAATAATTTAACAAAAGTATTTTATACTGCTTCATTGTTTATTGTGGTAAAAAAATATAACATAAAATTTACCATCTTAACCATTTTTAAGTGTACAGTTCAGTAGTGTTAAGTATATTCACATTGTTGTACAGCAGATGTCCAGAACTTTTTCATCTTGCAAAACTAAAACTTTACCAGCTAAACAACAGTTCCTGTTTCCTCTTCCCCTTAGGGCCTGGTTTCTATGGATTTGATTACTTTAGATACCTCGCATAAGTAGAATCATACAGTATTTGTCTTTTTGTAACTGATTTATTTCACTTAGTATAATGACCTAAAGGTTCACCTATGTTCTAGTATGTGACAGGATTTCTTCCTTTTTAAGGCTTAATAATATTCCATTGTATGTATATATACCACATTTTACTTATTGATTCATCTGCTGTTGGGCATTTGGATTGCACCTACCTCTTGGCTGTTACAGATAGTGCTATAGTGAGCATTGGAGGTACAAATATCTTTTTGATACTCTTTCAATTCTTTTGGATTCTAGTTCTTTAAAATACCAAAAGTGGTATTGCTGGATCATATGGTTATTCTATTTTTAATTTCTTTTTTTTAAGATTTTATTTATTCATGAAAGACACAGAGAGAGAAAGGCAGAGACATAGGCAGAGGAAGAAGCAGGCTCCAGGCAGGGAGCCTGATGTGGGACTTGATCCCAAGACCAAGGATCACACCCTGAGCCAGGGGCAGCTGAGCCACCTAGGTATCTCTCTATTTTTAATTTCTTTAGAACCTTATACTGTTTTCCATTGAGGCTATACCATTTTACAGTCTCACCACTGGTATACAGGGGTTCCAATTTCTCCACATGTGCACCAACATTTGTTACTGTTTTTTTTTTATTGTAGCTTTTGATTATAGCCATCCTAAGAGGTATGAAGTATTAATTCATTGTGCTTTTTTTTTTTAAAGATTTATTTATTTATTTATTCATGATAGACAGAGAGAGAGAGAGAGAGAGAGAGAGAAAGAGAGGCAGAGACACAGGAGGAGGGAGAAGCAGGCTCCATGCCAGGAGCCCGACGTGGGACTCAATCCTGGGACTCTATCCTGGGACTGGATCCTGGGACTCCAGGATCGTTCCCTGGGCCAAAGCCCTGTGCCAAAGGCAGGCGCCAAACCTCTGAGCCACCCAGGGATCCCCTTCATTGTGCTTTTGATTTGCATTTCTCTGATGATTAGTAATGTTGAGTATCTTCTCATTAGGTTTGTTGGCCACTTGTAGATATCTTTGGAGAAATGTCTGTACAAGTCCTTAGCCCGCTTTTTAATTGGACTGTTTGATTTTTGTTGTTGATTGGTAGAAATTCTTTATATGTTCTGGTTATTAACCATTTATCAGGTATATTATTTGCAGATATTTCCCCTGTTCCTTGGGTTGCTTTTTCACTTTGTTAATCGTGCCCTTTGATGTGATAATATGTGATTGTCTGTCCTATTGTCTGTTTTTGTTTTTGTTTCTTATAATTTGGGTGTTGTATTCAAGAAATCCTTGCCAGAAAAAAAAGAAAAGAAGAAGAAAATCCTTGCCAAATCCAAGATCATAAAGCTTATCCCCTGTTTTCTTCTAGGAGTTTTATAGTTTCAATTCTTTAATCCACCTAAGTCAGTTTTTGGATATGGCATAAGATAAAGGTCCAAACAAAATATTTTGAACATATTTCTAAGACTTTGCTTATGGAAACAAGAGTAAAAGGTCTGAAATATATGGAATAGTTTTAATTTGGGGGGACTGATGACAGTAATGAAGCTAGGACACAGTTCTCAAATGGTACTTAGTAATATATTCTAGCATGAATTTTTCTGTCCTTTTTGTTTCTTATAGTTGTGAGACACCAATAAAGAAACAATCAGTAGTTTAGGGCTAGCTGAAGCTAAAACATAAAATGATTGGGAAGAAGCCAAGTATCAGAGTGCAGGTAATTGCTTTCTGTGCCTCTTTTTTATAAATATATAATGCATGTGGTTAGTTGCTGAGCATATTTTTTAAGGTCATTCTGTCAGGGCATTTAGTAAGATTTCAAAAGTATCCATAGCAATTAGATCTCATATGAAATATTTATTAACCTCATGAATTTCTCTAATTTTAGGCTTTGTGCTTTGGATACATTAATTGAGACTTCAATAGACTAATTTCAGTTTGTTAAAAATTAAAAATAATTTTTCTAAGTTTATAGCCTTTTCTTTTTCCTGGTATATTGAGTAT